AATGACAAAGGTATGATAAGTTTTGAAACATAATTTCTCTCTCTTCAGTCCTCATTTTTGTAAAAAAAACAAATCATGATAGGACCGAGTTTGCAAAATAGACTTTAGTCTTATACTTGGCCTGATTATTTGCATAAAATGCAGCAAGAATAATTATTTCTTTCAGAAACAGGAATTTTAGATTGGCTTTGATGGAACTCTGTTCCACAAGGAATCTCAGATAAGACCTTTTAAAGCCAAGTCCAGCCATGGGTTTGTACCCTCAAATACCTGTGAGTTGGGTAATCCTCTCCTCTTAAGGTTCCAAGATAAACTTGGAGCTCCTGGGTCTGTCAGGAAGTGACATTCTTTACTTACTACATGTCAGAAAAATTATAAGGACTGAATAGACAAAGGTATGAGACCAGTTTTCTCAAGGGGCTTTTATCAGCAAGTTGAACTTGACTCCTTAAAGGAAAGCATATACCCTTCCAGTTAAAGCCTTGGTAAAACAACCAGTTTCTCCAATTGCATCCTGTTGCAAAAGAAAATAGATTCTTATTGCAATGATTCAAACAACTATACTGCCATGAGTTAAGAACACTCATAACAGACAGGCACGGTGACTCACGCCTGGAATCCCAGCACTTTGGGAGGCTGAGGCAGGAGGAGCACCTGAGGTCCAGAGTTCAAGACCAGCCTGGCCAACCTGGTGAAATCCAATCTCTACTAAAAATATAAAAATTAGCTGGGCATGGTGGTGCACACTGTAATCCCAACTACTTGGGAGGCTGAGGCAGGATAATTGCTTGAACCCGGGATGTGGAGGTTGCAGTGAGCCAAGATTGTGCCACTCCACTCCAGCCTTAGAGTGAGACTCTGACTCTCAAAAAAAAAAAAAAAAAAAAAAAAAAAAAAAAACTGATAACTAATTTCCATATTCTGGAAAAGCCAAGCAGAAAGAGAGACAAATATACTCCAGATTTTGTTGAGAGAAGTATACTTTACTCAATTATTAAAGGCTGTAAATATTTCAAAATAAATTTCCTTGACACTGAAAAACAAAACAAGGATCAACAATATTCCAAGCAAAAGTCAAAAAGATTGCTTCAGTTTTCTATGAGTTCAGTCCATTTAGTTAACTCTTGTGTTGCTTGGTATCAGTGAACATTTTGGCTCTTCATGAATCCTGTGCATGTTTCCTTTATTCCAATGTCACATTTCCAAAGTTATCAGAAATCTGTATTGGAGAGCACCTGTCAGAGTACTATAGCTTATTATAAACCATCTTTTGAAAAGGATTGAAACAAGACAATTGTCTGTGAATAACAAAATGTCCAGGGTAGTTACAATTAGAAACACAATTGACATAGAAGTTTCATTATCTCTGTGTTTTATAATAAGTTAACAAAACTACCTTAATTATGATTGATAGCATATACTTTAGACATTAGAACTTTAGAAATCTCATAAATTTTCAAACACATATTAGTATTAACCACCAAAATATAACCTAAAGAAGATTGAACACCATTTTGGCAATCCCATGCAGCTACACATGTCAAATAATCCTGTTTACTTCTCTTTTAAATACTCCAGGGGCCCTCTGTAGCATCCAAAAGCCAGACAACAGCAAAGACAATTTTGAAACTGAAGTTTGATTTTGGGAAGCCTTTTAAATATGCAGAGGTTTAAAATACTTGATGTTATGAAACAGAATTCCAGATTACCATAAGTTATTTATTTTGCCAAAATGACTCAGAAATGTAAAAAAGTAAAAACGTTTTATAACCCTTTATAAATTTTGATAAAGAGCAGATTAGTGCCTTAAGAGTACCTTGTTGTGCTTTTATTTCAATGCTCAATTTACAGAAAAACCATATAATAAATACCCTTTTGAATTTAGTCAATATGTTCACACATGGAATTTTTGCAAGATTAATTTTTACAATCCTTCCACCGCTTGTTTGAACTTTAGCTTTATCTTACCTAATTTAAAACAATTCTTTAACCCTAGGCAAGAATTTATATTTCCATGCCTTTTTATAATCTTTTACTAAAAAAATTTACTGTTCTTAGACACCAAACATGTAAATCTATTTCTAGTAGTTTCATGTTTTAACGTTATAATGTTATAATGGTAACTCCCAGCAATTTTTAACTTTAATATAAAACCTAGCCAGTAGCTTTAATTATGTGGTAGGTGCAGCCAAGGTTTGATTCCTTCTAGCATACTTAAGGGCCTCGTCAATTTTATATATCCCCGGGCCTTATCGTTTGTGGAGCAGGCAATTCAAAGAGTTCTCAAAACCCAAAAAGCAGTTATAACTTTAAAACATTTAGCAAACCTATTATCAGACCTGTTTAGTTCACTCACTTACATTTTGATGACATCTGGGATTTTACCATTAATTTTTTTTTTTTTTTTTTTTTGAGATGGAGTTTAGCTCTTGTTGCCCAGTCTGGAGTGCAATGGCACCATCTCGGCTCACTGCAACCTCTGCCTCCCGGGTTCAAGTGATTCTCCTGTCCTAGTCTCCCAAGTATTTGGGATTACAGGCATGCACCACCACATCGGGCTAATTTCGTATTTTTTTTTTTTTTAGTAGAGATGGGGTTTCACCATGTTGGTCATGCTGGTCTCGAACTCCTGACCTCAAATGATCCACATGCCTCGGCCTCTCAAAATGTTGGGATTACAGGCGTGAGCCACCGCACCTGACCCCAATAATCTTTAAGGCTGTTTTTATTTCTCAAAGATTAAAGTCACATGAATTTAAAAGTATCACAGCTTTTATCTTCCCTTTGAAAAATATTTGATGCAAGCACTCATCTTCCTTTAGGTCAATTAATTTGAGCTATTTTTATAGACATCACAAATACAATACACACATAAAATTATACAGACAGGCAGAAGAAAACCCAGTTGCCATAAGATCTTTTGCTTGCCAATCTTCTATTTGGATTATTGGCCTCCTGGTGGAGCCCTTTAAGAGACAGGGCCAGGAAAACACATAGCTTCTAAGGCCTAATACACAGGCATAACTGGGGGCAAAAACAGATTTTGAGAGGGATCTATCCACTTTTAATTCTCCTGGGGTTCCATTAGCAAAAAAGAGGTCTCTCCGTTCTCATGTATTCATTGAAAGTGGCAGGCAAAATGGAGAAAAAGAATTCTGTTCACTGAGAAGAAAACTTTTTCCACTGGGAGGCTGAGGCAGGTGGATCACAGGTCAGGAGTTCAAGACCAGCCTGGCCAAGATGGTGAAACCCTGTCTCTACTAAAAATACAAAAATTAGCTGGGCACAGTGGCAGGTGCCTGTAATTCCAGCTACTTGGGAGGCTGAGGCAGGAGAATTACTTGAACCTGGGAGGCGGAGGTTACAGTGAGCTGAGATTGCGCCACTGCACTTCAGCCTGGGCAATCGAGTGAGACTCTGTCTCAAAATGAAACAAAACAAAACAAAACAAAAACCACTTCTTCCAGCCAAAGAAGATCCCAGAAGAGAAAAACATTAAGATCTTTTAAACATACCTATAATTTGGATATCCACTTTTAATTAAGCTGAATGCTCTTTAAGAAAATCCTTTTAACACTCTTATTACCTGACTTTAGCTGTGCCAAGCGGCCAATATTTCTGGCTTTCAAACTTTACTGAAAGCTCAGGGAAAGGAAAATCCAAGGTAGCTCATGCAGAGGAAGAGAATCAATAAAAGGCAAAGGTCGCACAGATATCAAAGCAGAAAGGAGTCATTTCCTAAGCCAGGATTGAATCTTGGCTGTGCAGACACTTAAAAAAGCATTGCCGGGGGTTACACATCATGCTCTCAAGGACCTAAAACAAGATGGAGGCCTATAGCAAAGTTTGTTGCTGACCATTCAGAAAGTCACGGAAAGCACACCGGATTGGCTATCGCTTAAGACCAATCTCACAAATCCTTTTTCATAACTAAAACTTTACAGAGAATATAAACAGTGATCACTGGGGTCCTGGCCTGGTTAAAATGTTTTCCAAAAAGAAAAAAAAAACTCTCTCACATAAAAATTAACTGCTGACTAGATAGAGAAAAGGAAACAAAAGTTAAAGTGCAGGGTTGGAAAGATGCCTGGGGGAAGAACTTCTAATTCTTTTTCAAATTGGTTCCTTTCCCCCCAGACATGGATCCAGCAGGAGTCTGGCCAGCCAGCTGTGCAGAGCCGGAGCCCCCAAGGCAGCCCTGGGGCCTGGGTAGTGGCTGTGGCTCATTCCTGCTGTGCGGTTGGATACTGTACACATGTGTGGCAGTCAGGGCCATGCACCCCACCCAGCTGGGAGGGAAGGTGGGTGGGGAGCCACTGCTTGCCCAACCATCCTGCAGACAAGCTTGTGGCTGTTGTGGTGGGTGTGGACCACCTCCCATATTGTAAACGAAAAGATAGGTGCTGTTACTGTCCTCAAAAAAAAGAAGAAAAATGTCATAGGAACAAAATACTTAGAAATGAAAGTGAGAGGTTTTCGGTCCACATTTCACTCACGCTTCTTCAGGTCCCAAGTTCTGGGTGCCAAAATGTTGTAGGAAAAAAACCAGGTTCTTGCCACATGACCAGGAAAAGTTAAGCATGCAGACACTTTGCAGGGTGAGAGGGAATGGAATTTACTGGGCAACAAGGAAAAAAATACTTTGCAAAGCGAGAGGGGTTCCTGTTAACAGGCGTCCACCTCACAGATTGAATCCCAGGTCATCACACAGGAACTGATGGGCCCAGGCTCCTGCCCCCTGCAAATGGCATGAATTTCCCGAGGCTACACCCCATCCTCCCCAAGCCCAGGCAAGTGGGAGTTTCTACCGGGGACCCTCCCTTATCTTCCTCCTACATCTATCAGTTGTATTAAGTGGTGTATAGCACTGTTCACTTAAGGTTTCTATACTTTGGAACACTTCAATGTTTAAAAAAGCTATAGCTCAATTTTTAAAAGTTCTTGGTCAAACAATAAAGGAAACACTATTATAAAAAGGAAATTATTTAACAAATACTTACTTGTGTCTACTATGTGTCAGGTACTCCGCTGGTACTTGTGGATACAATCTAAAGCAAAAACACAGAAATAAAACTGGCTTATATACTGAATCAGCCACTTGTATCCTTTAAACTATCAACAGCAACAAATTAGAATTTTAAACTTCAGTATCTTTATTCTCCAGAATGAATCCTACAAATACACCTTTTAAGAGTTTACATATGAAAGATTTTATAAATAAATTCTACCTATATTTATATGATCAATTCAAATTTCAGTTTTCCACAAAGGCTTTTAATCTTCTGCATTCAGTATCTTTATTCTCTAGAATGAATCCTACAAATACACCTTTTAAGAGTTAACATATGAAAGATTTTATAAATAAATTCTACCTATATTTATATGATCAATTCAAATTTCAGTTTTCCACACAGGCTTTTAATCTTCTGCAGCTAACAGGGGCCTATCTTTAATTTGGCCTCCTTTTGTATTCATAAAAGAAGTATCACACAACTCAGCACCTAATTGTTCTTGAAAAGCCTTGTGAATGTTAAATTTGTTTCCTACCCAAACTTTAAGTTCTCGTAAATTCCTTGAGAATAGAGATCATATCATATTTTTCTTCGGAATATTTCACAATGCTTAGCAAAGTGTGGATTATGAGATATATGCTTAATTAGTTGTAGGTAGAGTGAATGAAAGTTTCACTTAATCATAAAAGTGCTTAAGAATAGTTTAAGTTTCGGGAAAAATTGATTTTAAAAATAATTAATATCCAGCATTTTATTTTACCATCTTCTACTACCTAAATATTCATATGCTTGAAAGAGATAAAAGTTATTATTTACATTCCATTCCATTCTGTTCCCTGAGGTTCAGTTCTTATAAGAACTGAAGTGAGGCTACCCTTATCTGCTTGATACCGGTATGTTTGCTTTAACTGAGGAAAAGCTTTATGGGTGAAACATTCATCTCTAAGTATCTCTTTATCTCTTACAGTAATAGAACCCAAGCTTTTTAACTGAGTATATAGTTGCCTAAAATGAGGACTGTATGTTCTAGCTTTCCTTGCAACTGAGTGTGACCATGTGACTTAAGTCTGGTAAATAAAATGTGACTGCAAGTGATAGGTGTACTTCCTTTTTTTTTTTTAAATCAATTATCTAAAAATGTAATTTACATACATGTTGACCTGGATTAAAACCAAAAAAGTTAGTTTCCATAAATAGCAGACTTTAGTGCTGTATGCCCCAATGACTAAAAATAAAACCAGGAAGTTTTTACTAAAAGCTCAAGGATAAAAATGAACACTGGCTGGCTATTGAACTCCACATCTGACAATAATTACTGACAGTTTAAAAATGCATATCCAAAATACGATCTCAAGAGGACCAGTTGAATTTGTCCGACAGAGCAGTGCAAAATGTTGAGGCATCATTTCTTTGGGTTATGATGGGTTATTCTCAAAGTTTATTTATTTAGAAGGGGAAAGTGATTATAGAAAAATACTTGAAATAATTTGTCAATGAAATTGCAGATTCTAACAATAATCCACATCTTAGATTTTTAAGTGTGTAGTTTCATAGTTTAAACAAATTCTATCAAAGAGCTAGTCAATATACTTTAACTTTCCATGAAAACCAAATAAAAAATCACAGCTGAATGATTTACTTCTATGCTTTTATCTGATTGTGTACATATGATGTACTACACATCCAAGTACAAGAGGCAGTTATCTTCTCTGAGAGGCACAAGATTTGTCTTTCATGAATGCCCTCTAATAGTGAAACCAGCAATTTTTATATATGCATTCATGTGCATATATATGTACTTCAAAAAGCAAAGCGTCATCTCTTCGTCCATTGTTAACTCAGTGGTAAGAATGGGGGCCACCAGGCATCAGTGGAGCACCAGAAGGTCCTGAAGGCACTTGGAAAGGATTACTGGGAGTAGGATAGCATCCTGGTGTGGGATACTATTCTGTAGGGGCAGGATATGGTACTGGTGGTCCCCAGGCTCCTGATGGAACGGTGCCCCATGGAACAGGTTATGCTGCCCCAGGGACTTGGGGAGGAGGAGGAGCGGGATAAGGCCCTGGAGATGGATATGGCATATTAGGGGTAGAATACTGCCATCCCATTCCTGGCGCCCAAGGTACAGAAGACATGGATCCCCATGGACATAAAGGACCAGCTGCATCTGGATCTGTGGGTGCACCACATGGTCTGGGTAGCTCTGGAAAGGACATATTTGGTGTAGGATATGGCCCCAGGGCCTGGCACAGTTGGGGCTGGATAAGGACCACCAGGTTGGGGGGATGACGGTCTAGAAGGAGGAAAGGGTGCTGGTGGTCCTGGAGGTGGTCTGGTGGGAGGCACGGAGGGATACATTCCTGTTGATGCTGGTCCAAAAGGCACAGTGGAGGGTGTTGCACTTGGTGGGAGTCCAGATGGCACCGAAGGTGGAGCACTCAGATTATTCCAAGGGTTGGAGCCTGGTCAGCCTTGAGGAGGTTGGCCAGGTTTTGTATTGCTCACAGCAGAGGTTTTGGCAGGGGAGTGCTCAGGTAGTGCATCTGCCAAAGAAAATTCATCAGACATTTTCCCGGCAATATCCGAGACCGCAGTAGGGTCTAGAAGGGGCGATGGGTCCCAGGGACTGGGCCCTGAAGAAGTGGGTGCAGCCTGACTGACTGCAGCCAGAGCAGTGGCTGCAACAGCACCAGCAGCACGTGGCTCCTCTTCGATAGGTGTACTTTCAACTCATGTTCCCAAAGGTATGTCCTTTTCTTCTCCTCTTCCTTTAGACTGCTGCTTGAAATATATATGATCATGACTGTGGGCCATTTTGAACTATTAGATGAAAACAACACTCTATAAATGGCAAAGTGACAAGAACGTACTCTCGTCCTGGGATGACTAAATTGAGAAAGCAACTACACGATTTCAGGATTACCCATCACTAACCTATTACATGAGAAGAAAACTGTATTAAGTTGTTGGTTTGGGGTCTCATTAAATACAGTCTTACCAATATCCTAACTTATCTCTTGGAGGAATGATAGGAAGGCAACAGTTGGCAAGGAATGATTCTTCCCTTTTCATACAATGCTTTAAGGATAAATGGAGAAAAGAAAATTGGAAGTAATTAGCTTCAAAACTAATGACTTTTATCTAGCCTTTAATATCTGAAACTAGATTTGACTTTCTTATACAAGCAAATAATCTACCAAAGTTTGGGGCTGAAATATATTATTTGCTTGTATAAGAAAGTCAAGTCTAGTTTCAGATATTAAAGGCTAGATAAAAATCATTAGTTTTGAAGTTAATTACTTCCAATTTTCTTTTCTCCAAGTCCCATGCACACACACTAACACATATTCATGGGCATACCCACATTTATCATGGGGTATCACCTGGCATTTAGGGAACCAATTGGACACCAAGTTAAATTTGCCATTGACAACTGTGACTTGTAGTTTTTATTTCATATGTTTATATTGACTGAGAATGGTGTTGCTTTTTACAACCTAATCTATGACTGCATTCTTGAAATTGGATTTTGTCTGAATTTTATAATATTTTATAAAAATTTAATATCTCACTACCTTATCGGAAGTAGTTTAAAATATTTTTGCAATGAACAATTCATAATTTCAAGGACACCAAAAGAAACATGGCTTTCATAGTGCATATTCACTTCAAAATTTGTAAAGTTATACATTCTTCAACACATTAAATGTTTCCTGTATGTATTTTCAAACATCCCCTACTTCTTCCCTCCTGTCTCCCAGGAAAACTTCTCTCTACCAAGGTTAATAGCTTCACCCACAGCCTTGAGTATATCCTTGTGTGCCTTTACCTTATTATTTCCTTACTTGACTCACTTCTTACAGGTTCTTTCCTTCTATTTATATCTGTTTTTCTTTCTATCCTAAAAACATCAGGCAGATAACAAGATTTTTTCTGGACCTTGATATTTCCTCCATGTATTGCCCTGCTTTTTTCATTCATTTATTAGACAAAAACAATTATCATCACTGTTTTCACTTTCTCACTTCTCATTTACTCTCTTACACTTGACATCTAATTCCATCCCTACCATGTTACTAAATTGCTTCAAATCATCAATCACTTATATTTCCAAAGACATTTACTCAATCTTCACCCTCCTTAACTTTAAAGCAGTAATTACCTGGGTGACTTGAAGAAAATTTTTTAAATATACTCTGTTTATCTCATAACTCTTTAGCCACTCTTTCTTTTTCTCCTTCATTGGCTCTCTTTCTTCCTCTCAGTACTAATTTTCCTGGATATGTACTGTTTTTTACCCTTTTATGGTAATATTTTTTAAAAAGTTCTTCTGAGGAACTACTCTTTCCTCCCTTTTATTCTGGCACTATTTGATTTACTATATCTTCATTTTTTTGTTTTCCTTTTTTAAAATTTTGATTATCATTATTTTAAATTTTTTTTTTTCATAGGTTATTGGGGCACAGGTGGTGTTTGGTTACATGAGTAAGTTCTTTACTGGTGATGTGTGAGATTTTGGTGCACCCATCACCTGAGCAGTATATACCCCACCCAATTAGTACTCTTTTATTCCTCACCCACTTCCCACCCTTTCCCCGAGTCCCCAGAGTCCACTGTGTCATTCTTATGCCTTTACATCCTAATAGCTTACCTCCTACTTACGAGTTGTGAACATATGATGTTTGGTTTTCCATTCTTGAGTGACTTCACTTAGAATAATAGTCTTCAATTTCATCCAGGTTGCTGTGAATGTCATTAATTCATTCCTTTATATGGCTGAGCAGTATCCCATCATATATATATACACCACAGTTTCATTTTTTTGTTTTTCAAATCTCCTGTCTTACCATCTAGTCTACTGAATTCCTTCTTTTTTTTTCTCTTTTATGTGACCTCACTTCTTGAATCCTCCATGCTTTTCTCCAATGTATACTGCTTGCTCTCTAGACTTGCTGCACAGCCATCTTGCAGAGATTTGTCCTTACCTTTCTCTAGCATCAGCATAAATTTTTGTCCTTATTTTGTTGGATTATATG